ATGTAAGCTCTGTGAAGCCAGAAATCCTGCCTGTCTTACCTCTGGGTCTTACACAGACCCAGAATTATTATCAATAAATGCTCATTGGTTGGATGGATAGACAAACAGATGAATGGATGGGTGGGTGGGTGAGTGGATGGATGGATGGATGGATGGATAGATGGATGGGCCAAAGCCAAAACAATTCTATCCTTCACTTACAAAGACAACCACCCCTGGAGAATTGATCTCCAGTGCCTCTCTGTCAGGAAACGGTACCTGTCACCTATCATGCTATTTGAGACAATACTTTAGGTGTCACTTTGACTAACCTTTTCTCACTCACTTTTCACAATTAACCAGCTCTGTCAATTCTACCTCCAAAATTTTAGCTTATGAATCTCCCCCAACACCTTTTACCTTTATACAGGCCCGTCCTAATTCTCTCCTGGATTCCTATTTCACATTCAAACTATTCTCCAAGTCTCCAGTCTCTGTTTCACTCCTTCCAGTCCATTCTCCATAGCTGCACAGAATAATCTTTAAAAAATACAATTATGCCAGACACATTAATGTATGCCTATAATCCCAGCAACTTGGGAAGCTGAGACAGAGGAGGATTGCAAATTCAAGGCCAGCCTGGACAACATCAAGAGACCCTGTCTAAAAATTAAAAAAAAAAAAATTAGAAGGGCTTGGGATGTAACTCAGTGGTAAAGTGCCCCTAAGTTCAATCCTCAATACTAAAAAATATAAAAACCACAAATCTGATCAAGTCACTACTACCTCCACCACCCCCATTTTGACCTAATGTTGGTCCATGACTCCCTGTGGACTTTAAGATCAAACCCAGACACCTAAAAGCAGCATCTCTGTCTTCACAGTCTTGCCCCAGTCTGCCTCTCCAACCAAACCTGGCCAAGCCCCACCTTGAGTTCTAATTCATTGCCTGGTGCTAGGTTTAAATGTGGTTTGTCCCCACAAAACTCATGTTGAGCCTTGGTTCCCCATGTTAATGATGTTGAGAGGCGGGGGTGGGTGGCCTTTAAGAGGTATTTGGATTATAAGGGATCCATCTTCATGAAAAAATTAATGTAGTTCCCTTGAGAGTGGGTTGTTGTAAGGCACATTCAGCTTCCTTAATTTGTTCTTTCTTTTTCCTTGATTTATTCTTGCTTCCTCTCAAACACGTGTTCCTTCCACACACACCCACTTCCCCTTTTTGCTTTCCCACCATGATTGTTGCAGAAGCCAAGCCAGCACCATGCTCTTGGAACTATGAGCTAAATAACCCTTTCTTTACAAGTTACCCAGTGTCAGGTATTTTGTTAATAGTAATGGAAAACAAACACCTGGGCTTCTTCCTCTTCCTGGAATGCTTGTCCTGCGCCTTCTCTGCTTTCCTTGCACATCCTACTGACCTCTACCTGGCATCCCCCATAGGATGCTTGCTGCAACTTCCCCTGACCCGTCTAAGATTTGGTCTATGCACTGGAGTATATCCTTCCCCTGATATACCCCAGTGCATTGTACTGAGTGCATCACAAAATGGTCTGCTTCCTTATCTGTCCTTTCAGATGCCTGTTTTGTGGAATGCTGCATTTGTTCTGGATAACATCTAGTACACCCTTTCCTGGTCCCTGGCTCAATGAATGTTTGTTGAATTATAAATATTTTGTCTCACATCAAACATGCACTTTCTCAGAAGCATATTTGCAGTCACATCATATCTTTGGCTAATCATGTGACTAGTCAAGATAATGAACCAAGAATTTGAGTATGGTCTATGACTCTGGAAAAAATTCTATTAAATTAGTCACGAGGGGGAACATATATTTTAGCCAAAAGTCAAGACACTTGATCTAACAAATATAATTACATGTTTTTCTTGCTTAGAAAATTATGACTATATTATAATCTATAGCTACACAATAAGATCTATCATTTTTGCTCTATTGTTATACAAATATGTCAACTCAAAAGAACTGAACTAATAGTAGCTAACGTTCTTGGTAAGCAACAAGTATTATGTGCGGCACTTTGCTATTATTTAATCTTCTCAACTATCCTTTGAAGCAGATCTTATTATCTCCATTTCACAGATGAGAAAACTGAGGTTTAAAGAGATCAATCAACTTTCCAGAGGTAGCACAGTGGATGAGTAGTGCAGTTGATCCCCTCTGTCTTTCTGCAATACTGACCTACCCATGACTTTTTCACTTTATTAGATCATCAGGAGAACCATGCGTGGGCAAAAAATAAAAAAAAAAAATAGCTGTGGCTTCCAGAAATTTTTATTAAAACTCTAAATCTCCTGGCAATAACTATCAAAAGCTATGATTCAAACCAGCAGTGGTACTTGAAAATGGAATCACAGTGCAAGTCTCCTGGCCACAAAGATGCTCTTGCTGCTGGAGAGGGATGCTTGGTATTATGATGATCTGTGTTGTTCCCGTTACTTGGTCTCTTCCACCATTGACTGTTAAGGCAACTGACTCTTGTTCTCTCCTCCCTGAGAAGTCCACTCCTTTAGGCCCAATGAGTTCTGTTCTTGTCCATGGTGTTCATGCACTGGGATCTACAGCAATGTTTCTCAAAGTCCTGTCCACGGACCATACACATAACGATCACCAGGACACTCATAAAAATGCATATTCTTGGGCTCCACCCCACAACACCACAGATAGTCCCCACAGATTGGAGCCCTGGAAGCAGTGTTTTAATCACATTCCCTAGGAGATTTGTATGCATACTAACATTTGAGAACTATGGGTAGAGTCTCCATATCCTTATAACCAGCAGTGTTATAAAATGATCAGATGCTCCAACCCTGAACTACCAAATCGGAATCTGCATTTTCACACATTTCTGTTCGGAGAACCCCCTAATCCAGAATAATACTTGCCCATGTTTTTTAACAACAGAGCATGCTTAAAAATGGAAAATATTTATTCCTGACATTGAAAATACAGATGAGAATGTTTTCTGGGGCTTAGCCTGCCCCAGTCCCTACCTGCCACCCTGGAGGCAGAGGAGAGCCGTATATCAGGCACACACATCATGGCAAGGTAGATGAGAAGCACTGGTCTAAATTACTCCCAGTACTTCCAACTTTTTAATGAGGCCTAATTCCCTACACCTTACTTACTCTTATTTCCTTCTTCATTTAGCAGGTATTTTTATGCACACTAATGGTCAAAAAAGTCTACTTCCCAGCTGGGTGTGGTGGTACACACCCCTAATCACAGTGGCTCAGGAGGCTGAGGCAAGAGGATTGCAAGTTTAAGGCCAGCCTCAACAACTTAGCAAGGTCCTAAGTTTTTTGTGGTTTGTTTTGGTGCTGGGAATTGAACTCAGGGCCTTGTGCATGCAAGCCAAGCACTCTACCAACTGAGCTATATCCCTAGCCCAAGGTCCTAAGCATCTTAGTGAGAGCCTGTCTCAAAAAAATAAGGACTGGGGATGTGGATCAGTGGTAAAGCAGCCCTGGGTTCTTCCATCCCTGGTACCAAAAAAAAAAAAAGAAAGAAAGAAAGAAAGAAAAAAGCGCTAATTCCCAACCAATAAGATCTTAGAAATCTTCATACAAATGGAAGAATACAGTCTCACCTCCAAGTTCTGGGTAGACTGTTGAAGAAATGCAGAGAAAATGTCTGTCATTTTGATGAGTCATCTGCTATGGCCGAAGGAAAACCTGAAAGAAATAAGAGCCTTCCTCCCTCTGGAGAATGCTCCTTCCCTTGGTCCACAAATCTGAGGACAGAGGATTAGCAACATTCAAGGTGGCTTCCTCTCTCCTGAGTGCCAGGAGGAATGTGATTTTGTTTAATCCTTCCTTAGCAAAATCTGTCAGCTTGTAAACTGGACAGGTGTCCCTTCTCTTAGCCAGACCCTGATAATGGGGTGACAATTGGGGTGGAAGGAATGGAATACCTTCAGAAACACTTCCTGGTGAGACCATCTGATCAAAACCACCAAGTGTCAGGCACACCATCTGACTTTGCAAAGCCCCAGCTACATGGGGACCCCATTGATTGCTCTTCTCTCTCTCTCTCTCTCTCTCTCTCTCTCTCTCTCTCTCTC